ACGGACGGACGGACGGACGGACGATCATGCGATTCTACAAGCTGCATCTGACTATGTCAGATGAGCTAAAAAAGAGGTAAATAAACACGAAATGTATTTACTACCAATTTTCTCTACTCTATTTCGCTACTCTATATCACCTGTAAATGCCGGTCAAATGCTCATCTGCAACACACAAGTACACCGCACGCTAGGCTAGCTGCTGCACACTGACACATAAATATATAGTTATATTTAATAGAAACATATGGATACTATAATGGCGACATTTATGTGTGACAATATTCATTATTTGTGAATGTGCGTTCATATTATTTTCAGTTTTTACTGACTCTGTCCCAAGTGCCTGTGATTTGACCGGCATTTACAGGTGATTATAGGCGAAATAGAGTAGAGAAACCTGGACTTTGGTAGTAAATACATTTTGTGTTTATTTACCTTTTTTTTCTTTTATTGAGACGTTCCAAGTGCCTGTGTTTCTATAGCCGACCGAACTTTCAACAGGTCCTTTGATAAGGCTGGCATAGGTCTTAATGACACTCATAGGGTCTATGTTCCCCAGGGTACTGCCGGAACGTACGCTGGGTACGGTCCAGTATACCGGAACGTACCCTGGTAACTATCTGATATGGTTAGGGGTAGGGTTAGGGTTAGGGTTAGGGTTAGGGTTAGGGAGTAGGCGTAGGTGACTCCCTAGACTCGTTAGTGGAGTAGGCGAGGTACGGTCCGGCATATTAATTATATAGTACCAGCAGAGCATATAAATCACGTTGATTTATATGCTCTGGCACCAGGGTACGTTCCGGCAGTACCCTGGGGGACATAGACCCTCTCAGCCTTAATTACCATTTCTCAGAGGTACCACAGGCTCAATCCTTAGCTAAGGCCATTACTGGGGTAACTACAAGTTACTTCTCTTCCCACTACGGGGTTCCTACAACGTGCTAGAGTAGCAGACGCTGGCGCGAGCCGTTTCTAGTCACAGGGACTTGAAGCGTTTCATTAAAATGTAATGCTAAATAAATACGAAATCTATTTACTACCAAATTCTTAATGTTTCTATACTCTCTTTCACCTATTATTGCCGACAGTTTTCTGTAAATTCCGTCCAAATCCTATGTGCAACATACCTTGGTGGCCGCCATTCCTCACGCAGCTGCACTGTGCACACTTACACATATATATATAGTGTAATATATATATATAATATATAGTGTGTAGTTATATATATAAGTGTAAGTGTGCACAGTGCAGCCGCGTGAGAAATGGTGGCCGCCAGCGTATGTAATGTAACATTGTATGTATGATTATGTTGCACATAGGACGATAGGTGATAGGATTTGGACGGAATTTACAGGAAACTGTCGGCAATAATTTTAACTGAATAATAGGGGAAAGAGAGTATAGAAACATTAAGAATTTGGTAGTAAATAGATTTCGTATTTATTTAGCATTACATTTTATTGAAACGCTTCAAGTGCCTGTGACTGTGTTTCTATAGTATAATACTTAATAATACTAAATAATACTAATAGTGTTCTACTTCACTTCAGCCTTCATGCAGGCAGTTTAAGCCACAGGCACTTGAAGCGTATCAACTGTAAACACACGGCGCCGCCATTGCGCGTACACTAACACATAAAAATATAACTCTATTATTATGTGTTAGTGTACGCGCA